TGGGGTTTGTGATTTTGGTCTTATAGGTATTACATGGAAGTTCCATGTGGCCAAACGCAAGCATTTGATCAAGACATATAGGACACGACATCGAAAACAAAATTTTACAGATAAATTCGACGTAAATAATGATAAGGGATTGGCGTGAAAAAAAGGAAATGATAATGTGGTGAAGTGAGTGACAAGTGAGGCCTAAGCAGAGAAGATTCCATTCCCATTTGTTAATATTTGACATGCACATTCATTGATTGAGGCAACAATAAAGCGGAAAAACACTTGACATATCATCCTCCTAAGTTTTGTTTGTAATAAGATAGGGTGGGTGTTAAGAAGCGAATGGGTTAGTGAATATTGGAGAGTGAGACAAAGCAAAATCATGCCATTTGCTTCTTTTCAACTCCACCACAACACCTAAGTGGCCCCTATTCTTTTTCCTATAAGTCCAATACAATAAAACCGCATTTTAAAATATTACTTAAATGAATTAAACGTGGGTTTTTTTATTTTTTTTATTTATAAAAAAATATCATCCACGTGATTTCTTAGCACTTTCTTTATAATACGTTTTTTTCTTAAATCTAGCAACCCTAACTGAATTAGGTTTTTAGTTTACAAAAAATGAATTAGTTTCAGTTGAGAGTAGTTGCGTTTATAGGTTAAAGTATTAGAACTCAACAAACAGTGTAACATTATGATTGTGCAAGTTTATCTAAATTACAAGTCCAATAACCTAATCTAACTTGTTTAAATGTAATTAAATTAGGTTAAATTGTTCGAATTATATAACACTCATAAATTATTAACCATAACAATATCACATGATTGTCCCATAAAAAAATACCACACACATATATCGTTTATTGTATTCCATTGCACTCACAGAATTTTAGACGTCGATTTCATTATCTTAACGAATTCAATCATTTAGATTAAATTTAAGATCTTTCGAATTGAGAAGCATATAAAAAGCTATAAAAAAAATGAGATATTAAAATAAAAGATGGAAATCGTTATCTAGGGTTACAAAGTTAGAGATAAATTACTTCTAAGAATGAATTATACGACAAAAAAGGTACATGTTATTGCAGACTGCAGTCACAATTAGTCACCCTGCAATTTATCTTCACCTTTTCCAACCCCCTATACACGTAATAATAATAATGATTACAAAAGAAGTGGACCCAATACTAACCAACAAAGAGAAGAGTCAAATCGTACGTACAATAAGTAATTTCAAATAATTGACCTCATCTCACTGTCAATTCTACATTAATTTAAATATTTTACTCACCATCAAGGGCTATGGAGCTTCAAATTAATTGTGCATAAAAGTCCCATTATCATGATCATCATTTATATATATATATATATCGAAGTTAAGTTAAAAAGTGTTGTTCATATGATCATAAATGTGAATGATAGATGAATTATATGCCGCTGCAGTATTCTCTTTCTAATGTGTCTCTTTGTGGGGCAGTTTTAATTATATTCCTTTATGAGAATTGAATCAACGTGGGAGAGCAATTATCAATTATTCATTGTCACATGTCCTATCAGAGTTTGGTTGGATGAGTGAGGATGCTCAGTTTGACAGCCACCTAGAACCTTAATAATATGTATTTGATAATATTAATGAATTAATTATAGAAATATATGTATCAATTATGTGTCCATAAAAGCTTCATATAGTGTACATGGATTACACTTTTTGACAAGATCATGAGTTCAAAATGGTCTTCATAACAATACATAAAATTAAAGCAACACATGACATATAAGGAATCTCTTTTTATGTTGGTGATCCATTATTTTTATGTCCCCATCCAACTGAGTTTTTCATTAAGGGTAAACACCTTTCCTTTCCGTCCTTTGTGTCTGTTTGTCTTTGGTGTTTCTTTGTTTGCATTGTTCTTAGAACATGCTTTATAGTGGTTAGGCTTGAACGTAGTTGGTGATTGATGGATAAGATATATGCAAAGAAATATACTTTGTGCAATAATCCATGAGGAAGTAAAACTTGAGAGACATATATATATATATATTACACATGCATTGTACATACACTAGAAAAGTTGTGTTAAGCTTTTGTTGATTCAGTACGATCGTACAACAGTTGTGCAATATGTGGAGAATCTAGCATGAAATGAATATGATCTTTTGTACACATAAAGTGCAGAAAGACGCAGTGAGGTAATATAGATGAATGGATGGAACAATGGAGGCTGAAGATTCTGGTGATAAGTGAGATAGGTTGAGGATTCTCTGCACTTTCAAAAGCATTTATATAACTTTTAGCTCCTATGTTTATCAGATTTTTTAACTATAAAAAAAAATAAAGCGAAGGATGCTCCTCACACAAATAGAGAAACCAGATAAGTATGAAAGTGGATAAATAAAAATAGAACTTGTTTAATCCAAGAAAAATAAATTGAAAATTATTCTCTAACAATTATTTGAATTAAAAAAAATCTTAGAAGATAATGTAAACTTGTAGTATGCGATATTCTAATTCAATTAAAAAAACTATTCTATTTCGTACGAAATTTATAATTTTCTTTTATAAATATATTATTAGAAATATTAAAACGTATCTGAATTTATTGAAAAAAAAAAATCAGTATTATTAAGGCTCTAATATATCCAACGAAGTCTGTCGGATTACACAAACGTATTTTGACCCAATTAAAAGATAACTTTTGAATCCATAATTATAATCGGAAAGAGGTCAGACTTTGTCTCGATACCATATTAAGGTTCTAATATAAAATCAATTAGTAACATGTGAAGTAGCTCTAACATATATTTAAATCATACTAAATGACATGAGATAAAGGTAGGCGGTGTGGGACTTTCAACATGCCCCTTCCAACGAAACCTACGAACCAGGATAAAGGATATTTTTGACCCAACTAAAAAGTAATTTATTTTAAAATATTTATTAAAATATCACAATATACTTAATAAAGTAAAAAAAGAAGAATTGATTTTAATAACTTTAAAAATAATTTTCATAATTTTAATATATTTATAATTTAATAATTATTATATTAAAAACCTGTACATTAAAATTATTTTATAAATTATATGAATCATTATTAAATTTAAATAGCCTAAGACATGTTTGGATAAAATTCTTTAGTATTTTCAGTAAAGAAAAAATAAGAAAATAAAATATAATAATTTTTTATAAAGTAAAAATAGTTTATATATAATTTTTTTTTTAATTTGTGCATAAGATGGATATAGCAGATTAATGTCATAATAATATAGGGTATAAAGGAGCAGATTTTGTGTAAATTAAATGGTGTAGAATTATTAAATCTTTTCTTATCCCATAGTATAAAGGATCAGATTTTGTGTAATTACATACAGGGTCAATACTCAGAAAAGAATTTAGACGTAGGGGAATTAACTTTTAATTCAGGAACAGCATTCTAGACACACACACACACACAAAACTAAAAACTAGAAATGCAACATAAAAAGGTTTACGGGTCTTTTATTTTATTTTATTTCTGTCTTTAAACTGACCTTTTAAAGTAAAAAAAAAAAAAAAAAAAAAAAAAAACCTTGGACAAAATTGGGCTTACGTTGGGCTTTCTAAATTTAGCAGGATGTAATTACTTCCTGCAATCACATATTTTTCACCTACACCCTCCTTGTTCCTGCAAGAATCACATGGATACGGAATAAATTGACATAGGTTTCAAAAAAGGTTTTCTAGCAGATTTACTGAATGGATAATCCGAAAATATATTTTGGAATGATCCTTAATATTGTAAAAAATATATATAATTTTAGAGTCGATATATGGATCTCACTTCTATGCTCTATTTTGTGTAATATGGATCTTAATTCTAAACTTTCGATTTTCTTGATCTAGAATATCTTTTGCTATGTGTGTAATTTTTACTATTTTTCGTACCTTGTTTATGTTTATATTATACATCAAATTAGAAAATGTTCACGCTTGAATTTGTAATTGTATTTATTGAGATATTTTTATTATTATTGATAAAAGGTATATATAAATTTTAATAACATTGATTTTCCGACTATATACTAAAAGTATTTATATTAATAGAAAAAGACATCACATACTCACGTGTCTAACATATTTTAAGAATTTAGTTTAAAGATAATTTTTATATATTTTTAATAATTATTAAAAATATAACAGTAACGAATTATAAATTTAAAGCTTATCAGAATTTATCTTAATAATGTCATCATAATATCTATTATGAGGTGGAAACATATTTATTTATAAATCTAATACAATCTAATAATAAATAAATAAAAAACATTTCACAAAAACATATGTATTTTTTATAAAAAATTTATAAGCAAATATTAAAATGTATTTTGATTTAAATTATATTCATAAAAATACTTAAGAATTACATTATGAGTTAACGTATGGCTGAAAAGTAAAATTCATCATAAACCCAAAATAGAATATGATATCTAATCAATAATAAGATAATTGAGCATGATACTTCATTTAAATTACGAATATAGTCATTAAGTTAGGAAAAAAAATCCACTTAAAATATACAATTAAATTAAAAAAAAATTAATAATAAAATCTTCATCATTATGTTGTCAGTACACGTTGAGCGAATTCAAAACTTAAAACCTAGCTGATCTAAATGAAGAAGTAAAAATAGCATAAAAAAAGAGAAATTATAAGGAATATGAGAGTAGAATCGGAAATTTTAAAAAAGAAAAATAAAGTGGAGGGGGGTGAACTTAACATAATAAAGGTGAAAATAACAAATCCTGTTATTGGACAATTTTGGATGCATGGATCGGTGGTGTTCACGGACCAATTGACATTGAGAAGCGTGGAGACGCAGCTTGTGGCATGAGCAAAGAACCTCTTATCAAACAAAAAATAAAGTGAAAGTTAATTTAGATGATCACGAAAATTAATGGTGTCTGGTTTCTTTAGGAATCTGATACTATATTGGCTCCTCTGTTCTGTTTCTCACGTGCGCATGCTCCCTCGCATCTATTGCAAATTAAGCAAGAGTCCACCATCATCACACTATAAGAAGAAACTCCTCATTCCTTCAAAGTACAACACTTTTCTTAACTCTCCAAGGATCTTCCACTCCCACAAATTTTCTTCTAAAGACAAAGAAATGGGGAAGTTTTTGTGGACCTTGATTACCCCACTTCATTCCCTTGCTGGGTACGTAACAATTTATTCATTCTCCAATGTTTCCCTCATTTCATTCATCAATATCTCCAATTAATTGTGTTTAATTACTAACTCCTATACATTCCAATTTTTTTTTTCAGGCCGGTGGTGACCTTATTGTATCCTCTGTGAGTACTATTTGTTGGATGCACACATTACTTGACACATTCTTGAGAAATTTGTTTGATTTGTGGTTTGTGTTAATGAAGGTATGCATCAGTGATAGCAATAGAGAGCCAATCTAGATTGGATGACAGGCAGTGGCTTTCTTATTGGATTATTTATTCGTTTCTTTCCCTCATGGAAATGCTTCTCCAACCTCTCTTGGATCGGTGGGTACATTAGTTTTTAATTTTAACTAACTCTATTTCCAAATAATGAAATAATGGATGATGAAATATTCCACGAGTTAGTTACTATTACGTTATATATTAAAAAGAATTTAAGAATTTTAACCAAAGATAATAAATGTACACGCATGGATACAAATATACTCAATCAAATGCTAAATTATTTTTTTATTGAAAATAATAAAAAAAATTGTCTCGTTGTGGAGAGGAAAAGATTCTTCTTCAAGTGAAGAAATAAAAATGGAAAAATTGAGTAATTTAATACATTAAGATTTTGAATTAAAGATGATGTTATATTTTTTTATATAATTGATTTATGTATTATTTATAAGAATCTTCTTATTATAAGTTTCTTGAAAATATTTAACACATTATAATATATAATGAAAAAATACAATGAAAAATGAATTTAATCTTTGCAGGATTCCAATTTGGTACGATGTGAAGGTAGTGGGAGTGGCATGGCTGGTTTTGCCGAAGACCAAAGGCGCTGCTTTCTTGTATGAACGCTATGTGAGACCGCATGTTCGGATGCACATAACTGAGAGGGTGAGTTAATTAATTTACAGAAATTCATATACTTTTCTTTTAGTCAAATTGGAATGAAATGCTTAGAGTTTTCGATTTCTGATGTTGTGATGGTGAGTGAGCAGGGGAGACGTGTTGCATGAAACAGGTTGAATTGGAAAGACAGTGGATAACTTTTGACTGAAGACTGGGACCTTCATCTTGAATTTTTGGGATCAGTTTACTTTTTATTTGGTTAATTGGGTTTATTTTAATGTTTATTGTATTTTGTGTTGCTTTGGCATAATTTAAAATCCGCAATTTGTTCATTAATCATCACTATTTGCGGTGTAATAATCTCTCATTTGAAAGATACCAGCTTTCTGATTAGGAATAATACCAACTATATATGTAAAAAAATAGTACCAAATTTATTCTGTGTAACAAATTTTTGGTAGCTTTTCTCCCTGTACTTTATTCCTCTTTTATTCTTTTATGAAAAAAATTGTTTGACACATCTTTTGATCAAACATCCAATTAACCTCTTCACTTATTGATAAAATAATAACTTTTAATTAAATCATTCTATGATTATAATGCTAATCAGTAAAGTTGTTTTTAGAATAAGGGTGTGCATATATAATAGCTTTTTTTTTTTACTTTCTCTCATTGCTTTTTGATTGTGAACATTTTTATTCTTGATTTTTCTGTTTGCTTTTCTTTTCCAGTTTAAGAAGGAAAGAAATAGAAATAAACTAACAAAGGTGTATTGATTGAATAAATAAAAATAAGAAAGAAAGAAACCAAAATATTGTTCTCCACATGAGTTAAAAAGAGAGAAAAAATAACCCTAAAGAAACAGTGCAAAAGTATATTTTAAAATGTTAAAAGTAACATGCTAAGCAATAATAACTGCACTTGGAAAGAGATAAATTTCATTGTAAGAAAAAATTATAATGTTTATAAAATAATCGAATTATTTTTAAAAGCTAAATACAAAAGCAAACTTTTTTATAATCTAATAAAGGGAAATTAATTTATATTTACTAAGTAAAAATATTTATTAATTTATAATAGAGCGTTGAACTCACCGATCGATCTTTAAAAAAATATGAACAAGTTTAAAGTTTTATTGTACAATTTTTTATGATTTTTTTTATTTTAGTGGGATGGTGACAGGTCAATTCGAAACGGATGAGATTGGTTATTTTTTTTTCTAGAATTTTTTTTAGTAAGTATATAAAAGGTCAATCGTGTATTGTGAATTTGTAAAAAAAGTTTTCTCAAAATTTTCTATAAAATTTGTATCGTGGTTAAAATCAGTAATAATTTGAACTTGTTGATCAGAAATTATTTTTGTTTATATTATTATTAAATTGAATGTTTTGAAAAGTTGTAAACATGATTTACATACAATATAGACAAATAGTCATGTTATTTGCTTAAAACTTGTCTACGCCAAAAGTGACTAATTAGAATGATGGGAAAAAAAAATTACAGGAGCGTGATTATTAATTAATAATAGGGAATAAATATTCAGTAACTTATTAATTTTAATATGTGATTAACAAACATAATTGTGAAAATTTGAAATTCATGGATTAGATAAATATTTTATTCAAAGAAACTTATGTACTGTATTGAATTAGAGGACTCAAGCTTGTCTAAAAAAACTTCAGATATAAATATTTTCTAACATGAGAGGTAAGATAATTAATCTAAAAAACCTTGCTAATATATAATATTATCATTAACTTGAACGACAAATATCTTTGCAAATATCTATTTACACGTCTCTCCTAAATTGAGTATTATGAACTTCCAAATCGAGTATCATGAAGTTCCAAACGATTATCTAAACATATTACGATTAATTAGATAAAATTATAGATTTGTGTTTAATCACGTAACAACAACTTAAATAACTGTTTAGAAATTTTATATTCAATTATAATAAAAATGAATTGATTTATTTATGATTGTGTATTGAAGTGTCTGTTAAGAGAAATATAATATGTTTTAATGTTTCATTTGAGTAAATAATATATTTAGTAAGGACATATTAATATTGCTACAAAACTAAAGTCTTTAGATATAAAGTAGATGACTCTTATGATTCAGCTTATTTTAAACTCGCTTTCTAAGAGTTTTTTTAAATTAATTATACCACTTTAAAAGATAAATGGCATGTTAATGAACTGATCATAAAACTCAGATAAGAAGAGAACAAACTCAAGAATTTTAGAGGTTATTTTGTAATTATAATTGAAGGAGTTAGCAAAATAATGAAGCCACAAGCCAAAAAGACATAATAAACAACAAAATAAATATATTTTTGTATTAAAGGACACTTTGAAAATATTGTCCAAACTTAAGGTTTGGTTAAAAAAAAGAAAGATATGTATGAAACATATGTATGCATGCATATTTAAATCAAACTTAATTGATGTTGCTCGTAGTTATGCCCATGGAAAGCCAATATTTTATAAGTTATTTGTCCAACTTTTGAATCAAACTATTCGGAATATCTTCTCTAAAATTTTATGTTTTAATATGTATATAAATTAATTTTAACTAAAATTCATTTTTTTCTATCTTTATAAAAAAGTTTGTACTAGAATAACCTTAATTTAATCATTTCATAATTTATCTCTTCATACAAAATTCATGACATTTATGCTGATTTGACCGTTTAGAATCATTCTTCTAACCAATGTTTTGGATTCTAATTCTCGTTTCTTAATCTTATGGTTTATTTCTATACACTTTTTCATTAAAATTATAGATGTGAAAATTTACTATTACGATTGTAATGAAAATAACATTTATTTATTAAAATATTCTAATCTGTTTAGTTGTCACTGTGAAATGAATTTCATTTAGTTTCCTACGCTATGGATTCGATTAAATCTAATTAAATAATTGAAACAATTAAAGTGTCATTTATAGTTCTAAGTTCATAATTTAAACAAACTTCCATTTAATCATGAAGTGCACTTAATTATTTCCGAAGTTAGTAATTTATAATGAGTAATTTATTTATGTATCTATAAAAAGATTATACTTTACAAAAAGCAAAGAGTGGCTATTTTCTAGTTATAAAATTGTACCGGATGGTAGCGTACCAACTGCCTGAGTGATTTTAAATAATCGGGTCAAAATTCTTTCAAGCCAGGTTCCATTAAGTTTACAACTAGGCCACATTAAAATCAATGATGTGAAAAAAGCATAAAACATAATAAGGTGGGAAGATCGGTACAAAGGATGAGTTTGTTTATAGCTGCATATTAGCTGTAATAATCTATGTTCACAACTGAAAATGAACAAACTCTAGTAAACTGGCCAAAATAATCTATGTTCGCTTACAGCCCCTAAATGAGTCTGCCAGCAACTTGGAGAGAACAGAGGTGTCAATTATGATAACAGCGTATATAATAAAAAAGGACATTTACAATACTATAAACATCTAAAGGACTTTTTTTCCCCCTTCACTAAAAAAAGACAAACGATGTTGGTTCTTGTGGCGTAACTCTAGTGTTTAACAAAGAGTGTCTCCAACAAGTCCCGTGACAATACTCCACCGATCACCAGAAGTCCAGACTGCTCACAAAGACAATATCATGTAAGAAACATCAGAAATTAAAGAGTTACGTAGTTTTTGGTACCAGAAATTACCCTTCGAGGGTTGCTCAATCCAAGGGCCATTCATGACATTCAATATACTGCATGCCTCACTATATTGCAGATCTGGTAACAATTTCGGGGTAAGTAAGAAACACCTGCGTTGGATTAGTGAGCTTATTCATTAGCCAACCATAAAAACTGGGGATATTAAAACACATTTGTTACTGACACACCAGCGATAGTCAACCTTAATTGTTTGTTGTACTTGTGTGATAATGTTAATAATGGAAACTTATGTCGTATAAGTTAAGTCCTAAATATAGGATATTCAGAGTATTTAAGTGTTTGGTTCTCTCCCTTAAATACTAGCTTTTGAGGATGGCTTGCCCAAGTGCTTGGATACTTGTAGATTGATATCAGAGCTGTCAGGAAGTTCTACCTCACCTTCCTCAAAGTGAAATCCGACAATTGAAAGTCGGTGTTTTGGCAAGGACTACCCACGGAGGGGTCATGAAACACAGGTATTATCGGACACCAGTCCCACATTGGGTAGTATAGGATACTCGGTCGAGTATTTAAGCGTTTGGTTTTCTCCCTTTGCATTGAAAGGGAGGTCTTATGACTAATACAACAAGACTATGGAGCAAGCAAGCTTTTCAAGGTAAGAATTATGGATTGGAGATGAAACGTTCACGAATCCCTCTTAAAATGCAATGCAATCGGAGAATTGGATGTTAGTATTTTGGTAAGGACTACATACTGAGGGTTCTAGGAACTTTAACTGCCTCAATTCTTGGATTGAAATCTGGCAATTGATTGTCAGTGTTTTGGGAATTATGCGATACTGAAGTCCCACAACTAGTATAGGATACTCAGTAGAAGTGCTTGGTTCTCCCCCTTTGCATGGAGAGGAGGTCTAATGACTAATAACACCAAAACTAAAGGAACAAGCAAGCTTTTCAAGATCAAAATTATGGATGGGAGATGAATCAAAGTTCAAATGAGTTACTACTATCTTTACGCTTATTTTCAAGGTGATAATGTCAGGATATTATCAATGCAACTTGGTAATTGCGCGATAGTGGATCTGGAAATCTTGTATTTCAAGAGTTGCCAATAGCGTCTAGCTTAGTGTATATAGGAAACTCACGACCTTCACAACCAGGAGTTCCGAATATTAATAAAATTTGAAGGCTTCTCTATAGTTGGAGCTTCCCATTTGGTTCTTGAGAGTTATACTTCACTTGATAACTCCCATTCTACTCAAGTAGCATTTTTGGGATCAAATTCCTCTTATTTTTAACTGATTCAAGATTATCCTTTGATTTCCTATGAATACACAAAGTAGACTGATCACCCATTTAGCAGTGTTTATCAGCTGATGTTACGGAGCCACACATTACTAATATCCCTTGCCTTTCCCTTTTATTCAAGAGTATTTTGAAAACAGAAACAATCCGATTCGCTGAAATAACCTATAACTGACCAAAGGAACAAAAAGATCAAGTGATAGTATTTAGTACTCACTGGGGTGTATTTGGCTTGCTTGCTGCTCTCACTAATTGCTGAAACATCTTCCTTTCATTGATTGGGTCCATTCCTGATAAAAACACAGTCAAAGACCGTCTGTAGAGAGCTGGTGTAAATATGGAAAGAATTTACTTCAAACAGTAACCGACCTTGGTTTATCTCATCAACAACTCTAAATGGGCAGTTTGTCAGATCTTGAAGGGAAACAAGATAAACAATAGTTGAAACTGATCGCTCCTATAAAAGCAAACCGCAAGTTTCATTAAAGGAGGAAAACAAAAGATGAATATAAGAAGAAATAAATTCTTTGTAATACCCCTCCAGATTGACGATGGGCACTCAAAGCCTGAAGATGTCCATTTTCTCTGAGTTATAATATAAAGAAGATATGCTATGTGAGCGGGAATAAAAATAAAAAAGGGACACTGAGAAGTAACATGACAATTTAAACTGACCAATAAGAAAAAGAACGAAGCACATTTTGAATATGTTGGCAACAAGTAGACAAAAAGTAAAAGTTGACAGTACTCTGTTTTCTTTTAATCACTCAATGTTTCTCTTGCTGCCATTTCAAATAAGTTGTTACAAGTATTTATGGGCAAAATATTTGCCTCTTCAGATGCTAAAAAGTAAATTATGATACCTATTAAATAGGTCTGTTTTCCCATATTTCTTGGTTATGCAACTTGTGCCTAAAACTATTAATACTTTTCTAGGAATACCAAACAACTAATTTAAGTTTTACAACAAATTTCCCCCTTAAACTTCAATACTCTTCCCATCTCTCATTCCAATCAGCCTTTTACAACTCTCGAGTTGTGTGGTCGGCAGTGGCTTGGTGAAACCTTTCCTTCTCTGACTTGTTCTCGGATGAAATGAAATTGGACGTCGATGTGCTTGCTCCTTCTGTGATTAACTGAGTTCTTTGTCAACTCGACTGCCGACTTATTGTCAACTCGAATTACAGTCCCTTCGTCTCGGATCACTCCCAGATGCCTTAGTAGATTTGAAAGTCAGACTGCATGACACACACTCCAAGAGGCTGTCACATACTCGGCCTCGCAGGTTGACAGAGTTACAATGGGCTGCTTCTTTGACAGCCAAGTAAAAACAGTTTTTTTGAGTAGGAATACATAACCTGAAGTACTTTTCCGATCATCAACATCACCACACCAATCACTATCCGAGTAACCCACTAGTCGGTAGTCATCCGATTTTGAATAGAAAAAACCAAGTGATAGGTTTCCTCGAACATATCTCAGAATTCTCTTCAAGGTCTTCCAATGTGTGTAGCTTGGATTCTCCATGTATCTGTTCGTTATCCCAACACTCAGTATGAGGTTAGGTCTCGTGCTTGTAAGGTACCTCAGACTTTCGATTAAGCTTCGATATCTCGTAGAATTAACTCGTTCTCCTCCATCAAACTTTGAGAGTTTAGTGCCCGATTCCATTGGAGTAGAAACCGGGTTACAATCCTCCATTTTAAACTTCTTTAAAATTTCAAGCACGTACCTCTCTTGGGGTATAAAAATCCCTTCCTCCAGCTTCACTTCTAGGCCAAGAAAATATTTCATCAGGCCTAAGTCTGTCATTTCGAACTCTTTATTAATTACTTCCTTGAACTCCTTAATCAGCTATGTTACTTCTAGTGAATATGAGGTCGTCAACATAGAGAGCAACTACCATCATGTCCTTTTCTGATTTCTTTGTGTACAAGGCATGCTCGTATGGACATTGCTCATACCCATTTTTCTTGAAATACCCGTCAATTTTCTCCTTCCAAGCACGAGGAGCCTGCTTCAGCCTGTAGAGGGTTTTTCTCAATCTCAACCCCTTCTTCTCATCCCCTCTCTTCATGTACCCAAGTTGTTGCTCGACGTACACCTCCTCCTTCAGCACTCCATTTAAAAATGCCAACTTCACATCCATCTGTAAAATCGGCCATTGGTTTTGAGCAACTAATGAGATCAGAAGTCGGATTGACTTCATTCTCGTGACAGGTGCAAATACTTCATCATAGTCGATTCTCTTCTTTTGTCTATAGCCCTTCACCACAAGTCGAGCCTTGTAACATTCAACCTCTCCCTCAACATTCATCTTCTTTTTATACACCTATTTTACTCCAATGGGTCGAGCTCCTTCATGAAGGTCGGTCAGCTCCCAAGTTTTGTTGCGTTCAATTGCTCCAATCTCCTCATCCATGGTTGTTTTCCATTTCTCATCTTGGACAGCTTTCTCAAAACCAAAGTCTTCAAAGTTAGCCAGAAGACATACAACATGAACTTCATTTGTAGTGTCGTATATTTCCTGCAGACTTCTCATCCTGGGCGGTTGTGGCTCTATTTCTTCATCTGAGGACTCAGTGGTTGTTGTTGTTGTTGAAAGCACAACAATTTCTGAACTAGTTTCTTCTTCGCCCGAGTTACTCCAGCACCACTGCTTTGTTTCCTCCACGTGAACATCTCGGCTTACCACCACTTTATTATTAACAGGATCAAACAATTTATACGCTTTAGATTTTCCATCATACCCAATAAATATGTACTTCTTGCTCTGATCTTCTAATTTTGTCCTGTGCTGACTTGGTACTTGCCCATAGGCCACGCTACCAAACACCTTTAGATGAGAGACACTCAGCTTCATACCACTCCAGATCTCCTGAGGTGTCTTCTCGTCTAGCTTTGTATGTGTACATCTATTTTGCACATAGACTGCACACTGCACCGCCTCTGTCCAAAAAATGTTCGACATATTCTTCCCTTTCAACATAGATCGAACCATATCGAGAATGGTTTGGTTTTTTTTCCGCTATACCATTTTGCTGCAGAGAATATGGGGCAGTCAAGAAACGCTTGATCCCATGTTCCTCGCAATATTTGTTAAACTCAGCAAAAGTGAACTCGCCTCCTGTGTCAGATCGGACTACTTTGATGACTTTGCTTGTTTCTTTCTCCACCATCACTTTGAATTTCTTGAAAATTTCAAACACTTCTGACTTCTCCTTCAAAAAATAAACCCATGTCTTTCTCGAGAAATCATCAATGAAAGAGACGAAGTATCTCTTACCACTAAATGATTCTGGAGTTATTGGCCCACACAAATCGGTATGGATTAGTCCAAATTGCTCCTTTGCTCGACACTCAAAACTCCTTGGAAAAGAAGTCCTTACTTGCTTCCCGATCACACATTCTTCACAGAACCTTTCTTCGAATTCCATTTTAGGCAATCCGAGCTCCATCTCCTTTTTCACCAGCTCAGTCAACCCACTGAAGTGAAGATGACCGAACTGAAAATGCCACTTCATAGCCTCATCCTCCACATCAAGTTTCATGCATTTATCTTGAACTATTTTCAGCTCAAGTTTGTATATGCGATTTTTCTTCATTTCTAACAGAGCAATAAGCCTCCCAAGTTTATCCTTTAGTTGTAGTTCTCGGTCCTTCATCAGAACCGAGTACCCATTCTCCATTAATTGCCCCATGCTCAGTATGTTACTTTTGAGATCAGGTACGTAATATACATCTTTGATCTCTTTGATTCGTCCATTTCTTTGTTGATACCAGATTGTTCCTTGACCTTTGACAGCTACTTTCGAAGCATTGCCGAAAGAAACAGATCCGGACTCCACCTTTGAAAGTATTTTAAATAAGCGCTCGTCACCACACATGTGGTTACTTGCGCCGATGTCCAAGTACCAAACCGAGTTATTAGAACATCCCGATTTGACCTCAGTTTCTGGAATGTTTGTCACCATTAGCAATCCTTCATCTTCTTCCTCGGCAAAAAAATTTGTTGGTTCCTCCTTTTTCTTCTCGGACCTACAATCTTTGAAAATATGACCTATTTTTCCACAAGTATAGCATTTTACCGAGTAACAGTCCTTGGCAACATGCCCATTCTTTCCACAGTTGTAGCATTTTGCCTAGTAACAATCCTTGACAACATGTCTATTCTTCCCACAATTATAGCATTCAATATTGTTTGTGTTTGTCCGACCACCCCGAGTCTGACTTGGTCAGGCCAGTTCTATTAATCGTCTTGCTCATTTCCTCGTCATCCTTTTCCTCTACCACCTTGGCCGACCTTTTCCTCGGCCTCTGGTACTCTGAGCATAGAACACCTTCTCTTTTATTGTCATCTTCGCCTGGAAGACCTGTTCAAGGGACTCCCCCTTTTTGTTTTTCCTTCTCTGCTCATGTGCTTCTAGGGACCCAACAAGTTCTTCAAGGGTGAGCGTTGATAGATCCTTGGACTCCTCTATTACGCACACGATGTTCTCGAAATCATCCGTCAGTGACCTCAAAATCTTTTCAACAACTATGTTTGATGAAAGACTCTCCCCATTCCGATTCAACTTGTTCACCACGGTCTCCACCTGAGTAATGAACTCTGATACGCTTTCAAACTCTTTCATCCTCATGTTTTCCAGCTTGCCCCTAAGGGCTTGAAGTCAAACTTGCTTCACCCGTTCATCTCCTTTGTTTGCTTTTTCAAGTGTATCCCATGCTACTTTGGAAAATTTTGCATTGGCTATCTTCTCAAAGTCGGATTCGTCGACAACTTGGTATAGCAAATACAGAGCCACCTTGTCTTTAGCTCGAACGACCTTCAACGCATTCAGTTGGCCATTTGAATACCCATCTGTGTTCGCCGGTTCCTCATACCCAGTCTCGACCACATCCTAGTTATCTTGGGAGCCGACAAGGGCCTTCATTTGTACCTTCCAGTTGTCATAGTTGGCGCCTTTTGTCAACTTGGGTAACGGGATGTCATTAGTTAGGCCTGTCATTTCTCTCAAGTGTTTGCACTCAACTCACACACCTCACAAAGCTCTGATTCGCTCCTCTCTTGAGGCTTGGTAGGTTCTCTCATGCTCACTTCACACACAAGCTCTGATACCAATTTGTTGGCAACAAGTAGGCAGAAATTCAAAATTGGCAGCACTCTGTTTTCTTTTAATCTCTCAATGTTTCTCCTGCTGCCATTTCAAATAAGTTGTTACAAGTATTTATGGGCAAAATATTTGTCTCTTCAAATGTTAAAAAGTAAATTATGATACCTATTAAATAGGTCTGTTTTTCCATATTTCTTGGTTATGCAACCCGTGCCTAAAACCATTAATACTTTTCTAGGAATACCAAACAATTAATTTAAGTTTTACAACAGGATATGTGCACATAAATTTATCATGAGATTACTGATATCACCAATTTATTATGCGATACTGAAGCACATTTTGGATATGTACAAACTCAGGGTTCGTTCTTCATATTGAAGATTACGGGTAACCAGAAGTCACATCAAATGCCCATAAGATTGAACAGTGATCATATGAGCGGTACAAAACGCAATAATTGGTTCAGGACAGAAGTTACCTGAATTTAACTTTTATAAGTATTCCATATTGATCAAAATCTATATCATGCTCATCTGAGAAGACATGAAACATGTGTGAGGATAAAAGAGTATGGAAAATCCAACAAGCTAATATAAATTACCATCTAACAGACCTAGTGAAACTTCTCCAGCAACGGCCATCTCTTGGAAATTAAAACTAAAAGTTTCATTTATCTTTGCCACAAGGTTTCTCAATGTTGGAAGCCATTTTCCCTGTGCAGAAAAAAGCATAAATTTGATCTTTTCTTTTCATAATATTCTGAAGGCAACCAGAAACACGATATGTTCATACATGCTTACTCTGGTGCACATAAAAAGAGATAAATATGTTAATATAATGCACAACACTATTCAACTTGCTATAGTTATTTTCTTCTTTTATCAAAAATAGAGCATGCAAAAGCATCACCATATAAAATTAGATCCCAACCATGTCGGCACTCCATGTTATATCAATCATTTTCATCATACCCAAGTAGCATAAAAATAATGAACAGAAATATGGAGATTATATAAAAACCTACTTAAGAAAACAAAAGGTTGAGAATACCTATTCTCTGTTTCTCATTTAAATCAATCTCTTGACCATATCATTATGTTTTAAAAAAATTCAATTAGCTTACAGAAACGAGTTTTGAGACGAACAATTGGCATCCCATGAAAGTCATGTGGCCTTTACTTTCTATCCAAAAGTTAAAAGGATGGTTCACAATCTCTCCAAATGTGCCAATCGGCTATCTCCAATAATTGTCGATGCTTAGAAGGAATCCTGGTTTACCAAAACTTAGGATGGTACAAAATCTCTCTAAATTGTCTAGTCTACAATGGGAGTCATTTCATTTAGGAAAACATTCTTGTAGATAAAGATCCAAGTAAAATTAAATTCAAATTTAAGTGCTCTCATATCTTGTTTTCTTTGACTTTCCTTTATAACAGTTTGGTGTGTATCTCTTAACCAAATATTTTCTTATACTCTACCCTTGCAGAGAAAAAAAAAATCTTATTCCAAATTATAGGATGTAATGTAAAATTATTTAATCTAAAGTAACGGCTTCCACTTAGAGGATAATTGGTTTATGACATCGTATTAGAGCCTCCATACAATTAAGTGGTCTGGAGTCCATCTAATAAAAAGTCAATTGATTTACACTATCCACACCTCAAGCCCCAAGGGCTATTGTGTCAAGGAACATGTTCAGACATAATAATTTCATTTCAGGATAACATTCTAGTAGGAAAGAAAGCTGACACTTAACTGACCTTAATGTAATTTAATTCAGCCAAACACCTAGCAGATTCCTTTTTGTCTGCTTCCAGTTTTGCCGCAAGATCTTCTATCTATAAAGTAATTGTAATTATAGATGCCACATTGAAATAACCAACATAAAATAAAACGATAAAAAGACTACCTGTCGTTCACGATCTTTATATTGTTCCAATATGTTATGATTGACAAAGAGAATTGAATTGGCTTGAGAAGTAGTATCCTGGATAGCTGCCTCCAGTTCTTCAATTGTAGTAGGCATCTACATTGAATACCCAATTCTTGTCAGTCTCCACTCAATTCTCTTAGATTGTCCTTAATTAATTTATTCCCTAATTATAAATAAAGTTGTATGTGTGTAAATAATACACTTTCAATAAATCGTATATGATATCAGTGGTTAGGTTTACTGTCACAAACATCCTCAATCCGTGTATTGTATGAGGATCCTCTTTTCAGAATTGAAAATGTTAAAGTCTAACAATAAATAACAGCACACACAAGGAAAGATTCTGAATTTCCTCTATTACTGAAAAAACATTATAAGCCAAGAACCAAGGTATTTGAATACCCCTCCAAAGGAGATTACTCTCCTTTCCACTAGACTCTGCTCAGTTTTACAAAAATATTCCGATGTTCCCTCTCTGCCTAAAGGAGGTTTATTTATAGGGAAAACTGAACTCACTCTCATAACCTCCTGTTAAACTGTTACCCTTTTAACCCTTTCTTTTTCCTCCTAAATAACACCTTTAGACCCTTTTCTCTGAAAGGTTGTTGCTCTAACTTGGTTCCAACAATGCCTCCACCCTCTGAAACAACCTTGTCCTCAAGTTTAAATTCTGGAAACTGCTCTCGATGATGTAAGATTTTTCTCAAGTAGCCTGGTAGCCTCTGGAGATTTTCCTTGCCAATGCATAAGAACTTGGTGAATTGTTGCACCCAACTGAGTAATTGTCTGATTGACTAAGCTGTTGTAAGGTTCATATCCTTCTTCGGTATTCTGCAACTCGGATGGAAGGTCTGTGTCCACAGGATGCGGTCCAACTGCTTTCTTGAGCTGGGAAACATCAAAAGCTACTGCTCCTATCTGTTTTAGAACCAAAAATGGTCCATAATATTGAATTTGCTCCAATAAACAGGAATGTTGGATTGTAGACCATCACAAGTGCCTATAAAATCCAATGAAGATTGGAATTGAAGAGAGCCTCCACTCACTGATAAAGGTGTCAATATGGGTCATAATTCTAGCCAACTTGCCTCGACATGGGTTCGAGCTAGATTTGATTGAAAAAAATTGAAAATTTTAAATCATGGGTCAAATTGAGTCCAATTTTACTTAACCAGCAAGTTAAACAGGTTTGAACCGGATTGGTGGTGGATTGATTTTTTTTAATTTTTAATCTTCTAATTTTTTTTCACATGTATAAGTGTAAATCCATGAAGAAAGAAATATTTTAATGAATCAATCTACCTAATCCACTTATTTTACTGATTTTAAAAAAACTAAAAAATAATTAAAAAATAGGATACACATTTAAGTGAACAAACCCACCTATCTGTGATGGATTGAATCAGGTTGTAAAATTCTTGACTCACCCAGAAGTAAGTCGGGTTTAGCTGACCCAATATTAATGCAACCCGTATGAGTCAAACTGACTCAATTTGACACCCGTAATCACTGACAAGGGAAGATACCAAAGAATGGTTGGTAGACTTATTTATCTAACTGACACTTGACCTGGCGTTGGTCACTGTTTTAGCATGGTATGTTGATACATGAATGACCCTAAAGAGGCACATATGAGAGCTGTAAACTGCATATTACAGTACCTTGAAAAAGCACCAGGAAGAGAGCTTCCTTAAGAAGAACTCAAGTAGAAATAATATTTACAGATGCTAACTGGGCTGATTCAGCTACTGACAGGATGTCAATTAGTGGGTACTGCTCATTTGTTTGGGGAACCTAGTTGCTAGGAGAAGTAAAAAACAATATGTGGTTGATAGTAGTGAAGAAGCTGAGTTCAAATCTATGGCAGTTGAATATATGAAGGAATATGGATACAAAGAATGCTTGAGGAGCTTAAGGCCTCTACTAATTATACCTTGAGTATGTTATGCGATAGTTTCCATTAACATTGCAAAAAATCCGAAGACAGTATGTGGAAATTGATCATCATTGTATAAAGGAGAAGATTGATGATGGGATAATTAAACTTGTGCATTTCATAAAAAGAGAAGTTGGCAATTTATTTTACCAGAGACCTATTACCATTTTCAATAATATAATATTGAATGGAAAATGATGTTTTTGCAATCATTAAGCCTGTCGACATCTAGTTCTTCAAACATGCACCTTCAGGATGACGGATTCCGACACAAAATATCAAAACAACAAATGAAAGGAAAACCGAATTTATCTCTAACACAAACCTCAAGAAATTCCTTTTTTAACTCAGGTGTAAGCCGAGCAATTGATTTAGCATACTTCAAGGAATCTGCAAGCTTCTGTCTACAATTTTCAGATTCTTTCTTACCTGAAAAACAAATAAGTTGTACAAATCAGCCATATATTTGCATCGTAAAGAGTATACAAATTTAAAACTATATTAAAAAAAGTACTTTCTCACAGTTTTCTAATTGCAATGATGCTTGCAGGGCCAAATTCTCATGCTGCTTCAGATTGGCATCCATTTCTCCAATCTAAGAAAATTAAAATATGTAAATATGAAAGAAAGAGAGATGCAGAGACACAGTGAGAATGAATGTAGAAAACATAATTGACGCAAGATTCCACAAAAAAATTGAATCCAAAGTTGGGATTTACACGTGGCCCATGAAAATTCATTTAGTGTAAATACCAAGTCAAACATCAGATAGAAAGTGTCATAGAGATGCAAACCTCACATTTCAAGCCAAAGTTAAATCTGAACCCACATGCTAAGAATTTATATATCATTTTTATACTTCTTTTAAATCTTTTATCTTCTTTGGTTTGTGTTGAAAGGATTAGTGTCAAATGTCAAAGAGGATGGTACCACTCTAGTCCGATGTTGTGAAGAAAGAAAACAAAAAGTGTGTCGTATATACATGAGTATTCTTATTTATAACGAAGAAGGGATATAATAATAAGAAATAAAAACGATACTAATAATGAGAAATATTTGGTGAAATATTTTCCTACCAAATTATATCATGTCTTCCTATTTAATATAATCAAATCTTGTTGTCAAATTATATTTTTTGGAAAATGCTTGACTGGACGATATCTCTCTTTATGATGTTTATCCTATAATATCTCATTTGCACGATTCTATATTCTCTTCATGATTTTACTATTTCATATAATTTTGACTTTTTCAGACAATAGCGTGGTAGAGAATATTTTGGATTACAGTCGCCGTCTTTCTGAATTCAACCCACATACCAACAAATCTTACATTCTTCATTTCTATCTCTCCTTTCATTTTTAAATTCTGTCATTGTCAAAAAAAAAAAAAAAACTTGGGTTATTTAAAGCTTAGCACGAACAAAGAATGGCTATTAAGCTTCAATGCAGGATGATAATTAATTGCTTGAACATAGAGGTAATGTTGCCGGTCAAAGAATTACAAGTTTAAAAGTAATCAATACAAGCTATTTTAGATGATGAGTAATAGTCAGTTACATGTATTCTGGGCCACCAAACTGTTATTTGATTTACCTTTGCATCAAATTCAATGAAAGCCATACGTTGTTCAATAAAAATTCGTCTGTAACTCACAGCTTCAACAAGAAGATCCTGTTAGAAATAGGATGGAGATCAACAGCATAAAAACTATATTTTTAAGGGAGTGGAAAAAAAAAAATCAAATTGCAGAAACAAGAAACAAAATTAGTTTTTTTTTTTTTGAAGTACACATGCACAAAGCCTTCAAATAACATCTTATGAAGCTGCGAAAGAGTAGAGATTAGTAACCTTAATTTCCATTGCATTATGGAAACGCTGAATGTTATACTTGGCAGCCTGATGAACAAGCTTTGCTATCTCAGTATCTAGATCATCCCGCTCCTCCATCACTTTTAACAGTCCTTTCCTCTGATCTAGAGGATAATACAAGATATTCATTTAGAATATCTAAGTAAAATGTTAATCAGAAGCTTTCAAATCCTTCAATCAGTGTATTCTACTCACCAATTCGGCTACTGATTGATTGACGTTTTTTATGCTCATTCTGCACCGTAATACTAATGCCCTCCTAATAATCGATAATGAATAATATTTCAAACTTAGTGGCAAATTTAACCCAGTTTAGGTTAAATTCAAAGCTTTAAATCAACCGCTGACATCTCTCTACAACAAAGCCCCAGAACTGAGGATTCAGAACATTTAAGTCAAACTATAAAATTTCAACATCATACCCACTGCTTACGAAGATTAGCAGCTTGATTCACTAGGCTTCTTTCTTCATCTTGAAACCTTTTAACACATTCCTCCAAATTAGCAATGACTTCTTCAAGCTCCTTTTGCTGGGAACGCAGCTTCTCAATTTCACCAACATTCAAATCTAAAAAGTACAATAAAAGGAAAAATGGGTGGTAATGAGAAACCGTCAGTTCAAATGTAGACTTCATCCGTATGTTCATTCTATGCAGCCAGAGTAACATACTGTTCAATAAAAGTTGTGGGCGTTCCACTTGTTGAACAACTGTAACGACATGATTTCCGTATCTAGACTTGGACCAATGGTAGTGATTTTCAGGTGTCCACAAATCTATAATTCCCAATTTCGGGACCTCATCAGCTTTCTGATCAGTTTCTTTTGATCCAATGTACTGAAACAAATACAATTAGCAAAAAAATATGTATAAATAGTAAAACCAAATTATATAAATAGACGTCCACAAATACATTAGCTCACAGAAGAAGTAATAGGGGCATACTGAATTATCTAGACTAAACTGGCTAATCAAAACCTCCTTCACAGCAATAGGAGCATCAAAAATTTGATCCAGACGGGAGTATATGCCAAGAGCTCGCTTCTGTTTACAATAATAAAATAACAATACTGAGATATTTAGATTGATCAAATGCAAATTGAAAAAATAAAAATAAAAAAATCTCCCACATCAAACTTACATCTTCAGAAATTTGAAAAGGCTCTCTTTGGTGGCAATCATCACCAGTATAATTTAAAACTGGTACATCAAAGAACTGCAGGTGTTTCACCAAAAGATCTCTATCACCAGAATCTTGCGTTATGAAGGACTGCATTTGAACCAAAAAACAAAATAAAAAGTGGAGATAATAAAGACCAGTAGAACTATTTTAACATCCCATCAAAAGAAAGCAGGATAAAAATGAGCAGCACCAACAAGCAAAATTTGTCAACTTCACTGGTGAAATAGAATTGGAAAAGGTTACACAAAAAGAAAACATATATCATTGCATAATGTTGTCCACACAATCGTCACCAGAGAAGCCAGTTAAAGAATGGACTGTGCAGCTTAAAACAAATATTTTATAAAATATTTAAAAAATAAATCTAAATACAGAATTTTCTTGACATTCAAGAGAAAATTCAGCAGGTGAGTTTTGCAGCAAGAAAATAGAGACCTTAATTTCAATAAGATATCTAGGATTACCTTCCAAGTGTAGTGAGCCACTTGACCCTCTAGATATGCAGCATGAACCTTATTTGATACATTCACCTGATATTTCATGCAACAATTAAACACAAAAAAGCAAGCAGCACAAAAAGCCAAAACAGCATGAATTTTTTGAACACATGTACCTCTACTAAAACTGGGCCATAAACCTCCTTATTGAATTCGTGCCTATGTTCTTGGACCCATTTATACGCTTCAAAAATTTTTTCAGCCCCTGACCTTTGCAATACATGCAAACACTTTGTACTTTTATTATCCATTTCCATCAACCTGCAAATTTGACAATATAGAGATAGTTCAAATATATGGAATTTGCACTAGTATCCAAAGCAAAAGTGCACTTCAGTTTTAATCTAACTTCTACCTCTCTTTATTCTGCATCATGGATGACTTCTTCCGCTTTATTTCATTTTCTGCTTGTGACTTATTCTGCCTCACTTGATTAGCAGAATAATCCAATTCTCCAATTTCGGCTTTTAGTCTTTGCTGGTTGTAGAGTAAAACATCAGATAAAGTTGGTAAAAAAAACATTCAGTGAAATGCAACAGAACATGTCAACAAATTTGGATGCTCCAGATGAAAGACATCTTAATTGATTTGGGAGAAGGTTCTAGTGGAGAGTGTTGCACCTAAAGATGATTAGTAGGGTCGTCCAATTCTTCTTGATGATGAAGGTGGAGATGTCATTTGATGATTACTTTTTATTTTGTCATTGTTAATTTTAAGAAAATATCCATTAGCTAAAAGGCAATTCTTAAATAGGTGCCCCTGCTATCACAAGAAGAGTTTTGCAGGTGATGCTTGTCTCTCTTCTATTTCTGTGTCAATTTCTAAAACTTCAGGAGTCATGCTTCATGAACTACGTGCTCCTCAAGATAGTAGAATTTGGAATCTTGTTCCTTTGCCACCTGAGAAATCTATTGTTAATTGTAGGTAGATCCTTTTTGTATTCAAATCTATAAGCATTTTCCAATGTTCATTAGTCTATTCCTCCAACATGCCCAAGTCTAGTCTCCATCATGCAAGGATTTCCCCGATGTCTTCTTTCACAAAGAGCTAATTCTCAATCTACGAAAGACAAACAAAATTCTTCTTCTCTTGTATCCTTGTTCCCCTATTTATATCTAACAAACACCTCAACTAACCAACTCATTAATATTCTAACTCTCATAACTTGGCCTTCTCCTTATATCCAAACAACCTTCTTCATTGATAGCAAATTAGGAGTGGCAACCTAAATTGGAAGATATCCTAGCTCTACTACAATAGATAGGGTAATATCATTGCATGTGATAGATGCATTATGACTTTGTTGGGGTGCATCACAACCAGCTAGTACTCCCCTTAACCCCATAGTGTTGGAAATATTACTTTATTATCTTTTATTTAAATTAGGTATTAAGAGATTTTATTATCTTTTAAGAGAGAAGGTAAAAAGACATTATGTTATTATTCTGATTTAGGCTGTTATGATTGAGATATTATGAATATTTAATATTTTGTAATATTTTTTACTCTATATATACATAGAGTACATGAATAAATATACACACATGATATATCGAAATACATATACACATAACCCTTCAAAAACCCAACAAATTGGTATCTCGAGCTTTGGTTTGACACAATGGAAGGAGAAAGAAACTTTTCACAAGTCGCTATTCCAGCTTTTGGTGGCGAAAGTTATGACTTATGGGCTGTGAGAATGCAATCTTATCTTGAAGGATTGGATGTATGGGAAGTCGTAGAAGAAGATTATATTGTTGATCCACTACCCGAAAATCCCACTATAGCTCAAATGAAATCTCACAGAGAAAGAAAAATGAGAAAGGCAAAAGCTAAATCATGTCTCGTTTGCTTGGTGTTTCACAAATGATCCTCACCAGAATCATGACGCTAAAGTCACCCAAAGAAATTTGGGATTATTTGAAAGATCAATATGAAGGAGATGAGAAAATTCGAGGTATGAAAGTTCTAAACTTGATAAGGGAATTTGAGATACAAAAGATGCAAGAGTCTCAGACAATTAATGAATACTCAAACAAATTGTTAGGTATTGCTAACAAAATAAAATTGTTAGGCAAAGAATTTTCTCGATTCTAGAATAGTTGAAAAAATTCTGGTAACCGTGCCGAGAGAGATATGAAGCATCAATTGTTTCATTGGAAAACACAAAAGATTTGTCTAATATTACTTTGGCAGAAGTGTTACATGCTTTACAAGCACAAGAGCAACGAAGATTGATGAGAGGAGATCATGCTCGCTAGTGAAGGTTCTTTATTATATCATGATGGAGGTTCTGTCCAAGCCAAGAACAACAAAGGTACAAAATCACGAGTATTTTCTCGTTTGTCCTTATTGCAAGAAAAATAATCACACACCCAACAAGTGTTGGTGGAGACTCGATGTGAAATGTCACAAATGTGGTCAATTGGGACATATAGAAAAGATATGCAAATCACAACCGAGAGGAAGTCGTTCAAGTTATAGAGGATAGAGAAGAAGAGGTACTTCTCCTTGCATCAACATGCTCTACAATCAAAAAATCCATAGGTTGGCTAATAGACAGTGGTTGTACAAACCACATGACTCATGATCGAAAATTTTTCAAAGAGCTCAACGAATCACATATTTCTAAAGTGAGAATTGGTAATGGAGAAGAAATGAATGTGAAAGGTACAGGAACAATTGCAGTTAAAAGTCATTCGGGTATCAAATTGATTATTGATGTTTTATATGTTCCTGATATAAATCATAATTTGTTAAGTGTTGCTCAATTATTGGAGAAAAGTTATAAGGTGTCTTTTGAACACAAACTTTGTGTGATTAAAGATACAAATAACTTAGAAATATTCAAAGTTCACATGAAAGGAAAAAGTTTCACTTTAGATTTGATGAAAGAAGAGATGATTACAAATGAAGATATAAAAGAAAAGTCAAAGAAAAAGCATGAAGAAGATTTCTTGAAGGAATTTGATGTTAAGGAGGAAAATAAAGATGTAGATGAAGAAACCGTTTTCAACGTCCATCAAAGAGTCAACGAGTACTACCATGAATTTTGAAAGAAACAAAGGAGATGAAGTTGATAAAGGAAGAAATATGTTGATGAAGAAAGTGAAGAATGAAGATATGATCTCTTACAAGAAAGAAAATAACAAGAAGTATAAACAAAAAAGGAGGAAAAAATATATCAAATTCAAATAAATAGATATTAAAGTAAGGAGGAATGTTGGAAATATTACTTTATTATCTTTTATTTAAATTAGGTATTAAGAGATTTTATTATCTTTTAAGAGAGAAGGTAAAAAGACATTATGTTATTATTCTGATTTAGGTCGTTATGATTGAGATATTATGAATATTTAATATTTTGTAATATTTTTTACTCTATATATACATAGAGTACATGAATAAATATACACACATGATATATCAGAAATACATATACACATAACCCTTCAAAAACCCAACACATAGTACCACAACTTCCTTCCACGGCTGAAGTGTATTGAATTAGGGCCATTTTTTAGTGGGCACAAGCCCATTTGGACACTGAATGTTTCATGTGAAGGTGTTTAGGGAGCAATACAATAGCTAGGTTGATGTTAGGGTGCTAGTCAAGTGGGTAAACCTAGCTAGTTGTGCCAACTCCTAGGAGTCCTTTCAAGTTTTAGATAAACTTTTCTCTACTTTCCCCTCAGGAGAAGGTTAAAGTTAGGGATGGCAAAACGGACCAGGCCCGGCGGGCCGGCCCACTAGCCTGCCATGATATGGCGGGGCAGATTGGTGTTTTCAGCCCACCATCCCGCTTTGGCCCGCCCTGCCAAGCCCGCCAACCCGCCGGACCAACCTGTGAGACGGGACGGGCCAGCCCGCGACCCACCTAATTAATAAAAAAATAATTTTTTATTGTAATAAAATTAATTATAAAAATAATATATAAAGTTAAAAATTTTAAAAAGAGAATTAAAAAAGTTTCACTCTCACAGAAAATATTCTCCTTACTCGAAACACAACCTTCTGTCTCCTGTTCTCCTTGTTCATTATAAGCACTCGATTATTTTTATCCTTATGACTTGAATTAAAGGTGTAAAAATTACTCAACCAAGAATAATGTAAAGTTTTATCAAATAAAAGAGATATATGTATTTGAATTTTTCAATATAAAACATATAAATTTTATAAGTTTTAACGTTATATATATATATATATATATATATATATATATATATATATTTGTTATTATTTATTATTATGTAAATTTTATTATTGTTCTAAATTATAATTTCTTAAAACAATGTATTGATTTATATTATTAAATTGAAATAATATATATATATATATTGAATTATTGACAAACAAATAATAATCTTATTATTAAATTTATTAAAAAAATTTATTTTAAAAAATAAATTTCTTTTTCTAAATTATGGCGGGTCGACTCACAACCTGTCCCTTGGCGGGACAGGCCAAGGTCTACAACCCGTCATGACTATAACAGAGCCGAGCCCCGCTTTTAGCGGGCCAAAGACGGGGCGGGCCAAAACAGGGCGGACTGGCCCGTTTTGCCATCCCTAGTTAAAAAGTTTATGGGATAGTATTGATACATGTCCAAATTTTATTATATTATAAATAGAGGACTACACAAATAGTTAGGGGTTGAGTTAAGAGAATGGTACAATTCCATTGGGAGAACGTGCTCTCAAATATCACATGTATTCTTGGTTGCCATAAACTTTAATAGTTCGAGGGTCAACTTTTCCCATTTTTATTTAAATCTTATATTTTTCCTATACAAGTTGAGTTTGCAGGACCTTTATATGATTGATGTTATATGCAGAAGAAATGACACGATACAAATTATTATATGCAGAATATTGGTGTCACACTGATTGAGGAATAGAAATTAGAAAATTGTTTAAGGTGATTTTTACATGTACAAAGAAGGTCCCTGAAAACATCATTGAGGAGAGCATATTGCATGGTTTCTAGTATTGTAAAAAAAGAGAGAAGACTTGAAAGGACTTGGGAGGAAATTGTCCAGAGGAATATTATAGAGAACAATTTCTCTCAAGGACTTAATCTTTAACCAAGTTCACTAGCATTGTGTGATTCATGCAGCCGACCTCACCTAGTAGTAAAAGACTCTCCTTTTTATACGCTTCGTCCAATTTTATATTAATTGATAGAAGTGAGTATATCATTGTCAAGGAGAAACAATTTGTCCTCATATTTTCAAGAGTGTTTACATACAACATCCCTTCATTATAGCCTCAATTCTACAAAACGTCACCATGTTTTTGTCATGTGTAATGCTAATATGTAGCACCACCAACACATGCTTGCAGTGAAACTACTGTCATCAAAATGATAAAGAGAGGAATATATACATCCTGTATATTGAAGTACATAGAGATGGCCTATGGCCCATACATCTAACAACAACTAGTAATGCATTGTCTCAGCACAATGAGCGAAGGTATATGTTAACATTATTGAGATTACAAAATCAAAATATTAAACTTTACTCCCTATGGCCCTCATATCTTGAAACACTCAACAACAAAAAGCCCTTAATGGCTTTAGCTTATAGCATAGTATTTCTAGTTATAATTTAATTTTAAAACTTTTTACACAATCATGTGATTGATATAATTAAGCATAAGAAAACTTACAAGCTCATCCTTAGGAGGTACATAAGGGGGTAGATTCTCAAGTTCAAGTTCAGCAATAGCAAGTTCCTCCCTTGCTTTTACAAGTTTTTGTTGTCGAGTTTCTTCCTGTCTCCTCAATTCTTTCATTTCTTTGTATTTTCCTTGTAATTCCACGTCCTACAAAGTGATAACAATGAATTTGATATAGATATATGATAAAAAAATCAAATCAAAACAGAGCAGAATATGATAGTCTATGAAAATTGTATTATTGAATGCATGAAATGAGCAACCCAAGTGCAACACGATATAATATCTTTCCAGAGTCTATGACTCAAAGACAACTCTCCTTACCCTATTCCATAACAAACTCTCCCTCCCCCGCCCTCTTTCCTCCTCTCTCAAATACTTGAATTCCCACTAATTTCATATTCTTTTCTACGTCATTACCCTCCTAACTAATTAATATTCTCTGGGCCTACTTTCTTTCTTCTAGAATAAACCTTCCATACTTTGGGCCTTCCACTAACACGGTTTTCTCCACTACCTTTTTCCTGTTGTATCAGCCCATCCTCAAGTGTTCTATCATTATTCCCTCCTCCAAAAATCGCCTTGTCCTCAAGGCGAAGATGATGAAATTGACTTTAGAGTAATATTGTATCTGTCCAAGTGGTTTCTTCTACAGTTCTGCCCTTCCAACGTACCAGTCACTGCTTAATTAGTTGCCCTTTTTTCATAATTTCTCGTGTTGCTAAGACCGTCACCAGTTCCTCTAAATCTTCTTGCTCCAATTCCAATTCTGCAGGCAATTCAGGAGCTGCAGAATAATCTCCCACTGCCCGTTTCAACTGTGATCCATGAAACATTGGGTGCACTATAGCTGTCTTGCGTAACTTCAACTTGTACGAAACAGCTCCCACCTTGGCCATCATAGGAAATGGTCCATAATAACGAGCTGCCAACTTCGGATTAATGTGATGTGCCACCATTTGTTGCCTATGTGGTCGCAATTTTACAAATACCCATTCTCCTACCTCAAACTCCACCCGGTTTGCATTTCCTATCTGCATACTTCTTCATTTGTTGCTGAGCATGCAGCAAATGATATTTTAATTGTCACAAAGCTTCATCATGATCGACTAATTCTGCTGCCACAACCTCCACATTCGTTTCTCCTTGGGTAAAGCAAACTAACGGAGGAGGTGCTCTCCCATATACCACTTCAAATGGTGTTTTTCCCGTAGTCACATGGAAAGTGGTATTGTACCATAATTCAGCCCATGGTATTCAATCCACCCAATGGTATCCAATCCACCCAATATTTAGGTTGCTCCAATACAAAACACCTCAAGTAAGCCTCTAAACACCTATTCACCACTTCCATTTGACCGTCCGTCTCGAGATGATAAGATGCGCTCATCTTTAATACAGTACCCTGTAAACGAAACAACTCTTGTCCAAATGAGCTCATAAACAAGGGGTCTCAGTCACTCACAATTAAATTGGGTACCTCAGGAGCCTCACAATTTCCTTAGCAAATATTTCTGCTACCTTTCTTGTCGTATATGGATGTTTGAAAGGTATAAAGTGTCCATATTTTGATAACCGCTCTACTACCACAAACAACATCAAATCCCTTTGATTTGGGCACCCCGTTAAAAAGTCAAGGGAAATATTCTCCCAAATGTAGTTAGGTATGGGTAATGGTTGTAAGAGTCCAGTTGGAGATGTTGTTGCATACTTTTGCTTTTAACATATATCACATTGCTTAACAAATTCTTGCACCCTTTCATGCCAACCCAATATAGATTTCCAGCAACCCACTTATATGTCCGCAGAAAACCCGAATGTCCCCCTGCAGGAGATGCATGGAATTCTTCTAAAATGTGTGGAATCAAAGCAGACGCTGCTGACAAAACTAATCGTCCCTTATGCAACATGATGTCGGCTGAACCCATGTTTAGGATTAGTGTCTTGCTGAATGTTTTCCACCACCCTTTTAAGGAAAGGATTTGATTGTTGCTCCACCTGTACCTGCTATCCCTGCAACCATATTGGACAAGAAATCAAATTTCTTAATTCACCATCTTCAAACACCCGTGACAATGCATCACCAACTTTATTAGCAGGGTCCAGTTTTTAAACCACTAGAAATTAATATCCCAACAATTTAGCTATCCAATTCTGTTGTGGTTATTCTCTATTGCAACAAATACCCAAACTTCGTTGATCAGAATAAAGTTTGAAGCTTCTGCCAAGAAGATATGGCCTCCAATGTTGTACAGCTAGCACTAAAGCTATTAAATTTTTCTCATAAGCTGATTACTCAAGTTATTTGGTGATAATGCCTTACTAAAGTAAGCAATGGGTATGCGGTTTTGCATCAACACCGCACCAATTCTTGCTCCTGAAGCGTCACATTCAATTTCGAATGATTGAGTAAAGTCCGAGAGGACTAAAACAGGAGTTTGAGTCATGACTTTCTTTAATTCCTCAAATGTTGCTAATGTTGCCAAGTCCCAGTTAAACCCATCCTTATTAGTTAGTTCTGTCAAAGGCTTGGCAATCCTTCCATACCTCACAATAAATTTTCGATAATATCCCATCAACCTAAAAAAACCCCTAACTCCCTTCACATTGTGAGGAATAAGCCATTCTACTACACTTTAGATTTTTTCAGGATCAACTGCCACTCCCTGTTCTGAAATTACATAAGCCTAAATATTCCACTTGTCTACTTCCAAAACACACTTCTTCCTATCACCACAAAACCTTACTTTTGTAACAATTGCAACACTAGAGATAAATGCTTTAAGTGGTCCTGCCACCTCCGCTTGTACACTAGAGTATCGTCAAAGAAGACTAAGACAAACTTTCGTAAATAAGGCTTGAATACTTGATTCATCATTGATTGAAAAGTGTTGGGGTATTAGTTAACCCAAAGGGCATTACCAAGTACTCGTAATGGCCCTCATGAGTGCGAAAAGTTGTCTTGTGCACATCTTCTTCCTTCATTTTAATTTGGTGATACCCTGACTTCAAATCTAATTTTGAAAAATAAGCAGTCCCATACAACTCATCTAATAGCTCTTCTACCACAAGAATTGGGTATTTATAAGACACGGTGACCTTATTCAATTCTCTATAATCAACACATATCCTCCATAAAGATTCTTCTTAACCAAAACGACTGGGATTGAGAAAGCACTTTTGCTATGCCTGATAGATAGTTCCTTGCTGTAAAAATTCACTCACTTGCTTTTCTATCTATTCTTTGTGATGATATGGTCGCACACTCACAGGTCCAGCTTCCTTATACAGCTCAATACCATGAGAAATCTTTCTAGCCGGAGTAGTCCTTTCAGTTCCTTGAAAATTGCTCCGAAAGTAGACAACACTTGTTACACCTCATTCAATTGTGTAGTCGACAAGCCCCTATCAATACTTAGATAATTTTTTTGTCTTTTTAATCATTAAACTTTGCAAAGAAGCCACCATTTCTGTTTGACATCTTCTTTCTGTTTTCTGCCCCTATAATTCCACTGGGTATCCCTTCTAGTTAAAACTTATAACCCTATTTTTCCAATCGAAAGTCACCTTACCAAATTCTTGTAACCATACTACTCCCAATATCATATCCAACCCTCCTAACTCCAACACATGCGGTATTACAACAGTATGAAAATTTCCAAGTTGGATTTTCACAAGCTTGCATCTACCCAAAGTGGATATCTTATGGTCATCACCCAACTGCACTCCGATAGACTTTTTGTTCTCCACTTCCAATCCCAATGCTACCAATACTTGAGGAGATATAAAGTTGTGGCTCGCCCCATTGTCAACCAACACCACCACAGAAACTCCATTAATTGCGCCTTCCAAACGTAAGTTTGAAGGAATAACCCTTTTGTTTCCATATATCTCAACCTCCCCGAACATTCCCATAGCTCCAAAGTCCAATGTGGACTCTTCCTTTTGCGTCCTCTTCTCACTAACTATAATCTCTCCTTCCTCATTAACTATGTCATCATCCCCCACCACTAGCAACCTCAATTGTCGTTCTGCACATTGGTGCAATGGATGGAATTTATCACCACACCTGAAGCAGAGCCTTTGTGCCTTATGGTTCATTAACTCAGAATAAGGAAGATGTTTAGTACCCGTTCAGATGTAGAAAATCAACCATTGTTAGCACGTTGCATATGTGAACCAGTAGCTCTCGACCCCCCTTGGGACACACTTTCGTTTGAGAATCCTTTGGATTGGGCTCTAACACTTGGGCTCACTCCTACACCCATCTTACTTGGGCTATAACTCGATCTGGTACCACTCCTATTCAGATTATTCGACCCCCATTTGCGACTCCCTCTTCCCATTCGTGCTCCAACTCCTCAACCCCCTATTCTCCGTATAACTCCATTTCGACATTCCTCGTGATTCGCATAGCCTCTAAGCGGTTGATAGGATTGAAAGTGCGAACACGCCTTTGAATCTCCGATTGAAGTCCATCGATGAAATATCCCAAGTATTATTCCTCCAAAGGCATGATACCTGGGAAGAAATAATTTCAAACTCCGATAGATATTCCTCTACACTTCCCGTTTGATTCAAGTCATTCAACGCTTCATAGGGATTGTCACTCCGACCACCTTTGTATCTCCCAATCAACTCATGTTTCAACTTCGTCCAGGTCAACCCCTCACCAAAATCGCGGAGGAGATTGAACCAATGGATAGTGGCCCCTCCACGCTCAACTTAGCCAATTGCACCTTCATTTCCTCCTTTGACCCCTGAACCTCGAAATATGTCTCTGTGCGAGTAATCCATCCTACCGAATTAGTTCCGTTGAATAAAGGCAATTCTACATTCTTCGCCATCATCCTATCCCCCGGTGACTTTCGTTTCTGAAGACGGCGAAACCCGCTCTTCTCTACTTGCAACATGCAATTTGGCAAATTACTCCAACATGGATTGGCGGAACTCCACTAATGATTAACGCATCGAAGCCTCCATTGCCATCAAACGTTCCTCCAATGCTTTCACTCTATCTGACATCTTCGGGGGCATGGGAAAAAAGTAACTACGCTAGCTCTCCTCGAAATAATCTGACAGGCCAATAATTGTTATATATGATAAAAATCAAATCTAAACAAAGCAGAATATGATAGTTATGGAAACTGTATTATTGAATATACGAAATGAGCAACCCAGGTGCAACACGATATATCTTTCGAGAGTCTCTAACTCCTCCTCCAAAGAGACAACTCTCCATACCCTATTCCATAACAAACTCTCCCTCCCCCTCCCTCTTTCCTCCTCTCTCAAATACTTGAATTCTCACTAATTTCATATTCTTTTCCACGTTATTACCCTCCTAACTAATTAATATTCTCTAGGCCTGCTTTCTTTCTTCTAGAATAAACCTTCCATACTTTGGGCCTTCCACTAACATGATCTTCTCCACTACCTTTTTCCTATTGTATCAGGCCATCCCCAAGTGTTCTATCAGAATTAAAATCACATAAAAAATCTAACTTATCCAAAATGGTACAAGATAAATCCACAAGCACAATATCAAAACGATTATCAAGTTTTTCATTGTCACAATGCCTTATAACACTACAGGTGAAGAAAATCCATGAATGAAAAGGAAGATGTGATTTTTACATCTTGTAAATCAAAAAAAAAAAAGGTACACACACATAAAGGTTACCAATTTGTTCTCCTCCTCCATAAGTTCATTTCTTTTCTTTGCATTCTCATTTACATTGCGGCTAACCTTTTTGCATTTTACATCTAATGCAGTCTTCTCTTCCTTTTGTTTCCTGCTATCAATGAAAATTATAATTTGTTATATTAGATCTTAACAACAAATAGTAGGTAAGGCTGCCACACACTGACATGTTCATCAATAAAAACTCACTAAAATAACAGTGGTTGGTAAGGCTTCTAACACCCTCTAGTCAGACAAGACTTGGTTGTTGTTCATGTAATATAGTGGCAGATATCTTACGACATCACCATACAAGCTAAATATCACATGTACCATGATAATAAAACAAATAAATCTAATCACAAAATAAGCCAGCCTTAAAACACTTTCAGAGTTAGGAATAATCTATTCCTATAAACTCCTCTGTTATCAACAAAAAATAGCTACAACAATGATCTGATTGTTTATCATTTTCAAGCAAACCAAGCAACAAATTTTACAATGTAACCCAAATAACTAAGGGCAATAAAAAGTTGTGGCTACACACGTTCATCTTAAAATTCATTTTTGTTACTCCTGAATTTTTCTCATCCCTTTATATCTCAACATTTTCAGTCCACAAGTAAAAAGCAAAGTTTAGAGGCAAAGGCTTTAACCTACAACATGGCTTTGACTTTCAAGAGACATTATCTCATATTTAGGAACTAAGGTTTGAATTTCTATTTACTTACATTCTCCCTAGACATAAGACAGACTTATAATTTCTCAAATAAAAATAAGACATTTTCTTTCCGTGCATGGAGTCTCTGTAAATTTAAAACAGCTGACTCTTTTGCATTTGTGTATCAAATGAATCAATAGTGAAAAGCCCTAATGTCTAACCATGCTAAAATGTAAGGAAAAATACGAATAATAAGATCAGAAATTTAAACAGGGAAGTATAAGTATAGAAGTAAGAAAGACTATCATACATAATGGGTTCTTTAAGATCATTTAATAACTTTGCAGCTTCCTCCAATGCCTTTGCTGCATCATTCTCACGTTCCTTAGCTTCCCGGTATTCTGCCTGCTTCATATCATACCTCAGCCATGGTAACTTCTTTTTCATTGCTTCAGCCTACAAAAAAAGACGAAGCCATGTTTTTTTAGAATTCCTTCAGTAAAGGAAATTTGTCATGCCATGAGTGTCAGCAAACCTCCTAAACAAGAAAGAAAGGATGAACTTAGCATATAAAAACAAAATTCATACATTATATATATATAAAACAAAAGGCTCAATGCTTGGCACATATAAGACATTTTAAAACCTTGGTAAGAAGTTCATCTCTTTGACGAACACGTTCAACATCCGTCTCTAATTCAGCATTTCGTTCCTTCAATTGTTGTAAGGTTCCTTCATTTTTCTCCAGAGACTGAAATTGAATTAGTGAAGTGACTCTCAAGTGTACGAGGAATAAAGTTTTAGATATCATCTAAAACCATTCTTAGGAAATGGTGACCCTACCAACTCAATATGCTTCAATGACCGACTTTTATCAACTAGTGTTCGATGTTGCTCTGGAAGCTGTGGATCACCAACAGCCTTTTCTGTCTCTTCCAGAAGTTGAACAGGAGTTAACTTCGCGAACTCACAGACCCTGTCTTGCGGTAAAAACTACAACAACCAAGGGTTCCATGAAATCAATTAGTTAGGAGAAAAAAAAACAAAGTATTAACACAAGTTAGAACCTAAAATTGAACTTCACAATAACAATTATAATTAGACAAATAAAACAACTAAGGGTGTGTACACTATTTCGAAAAGATAGTAAGAAAATGAACAACTGGGATCACAACAGTTTGGACCACTTCACCAAACTGAGACATCACAACATTTGTATAGCAGCACATCACCGCTCCACATCACGCAACCGCTATTGGAATTGCTCCAACCACTATTGACTATTATGACAAGAAATGATGAGCAAATACAAGATCAGAGCCAAAGTTCTGATAACATGTAGTTTAGAAGAAGAAATCTATTATGCTTGATTGGTCACAATATATCTCATTGGAAAAGATAGCTAGAATAAATCCTAGCAACCCTAATAACAAATATAAATAAGGAAAAGACAAAATAAAATCAAATTAGATTAAAGTATTTTAATCTTGATCTCCATTACATCAATCTTGTACAATAAAAGAAAGTAAAATCAAATTAGATTTGAATACTCTTGTTTTCACCTTAAGTAAGTAAATATACAGATGTCAACACAAGTCATACTTACCTGAGTCAAATTATTGACTTGTATGTTAAACCTTTGAATGGTTTCAACCACATCCTTTTTAGACACTACATTTCCTGAAAGGAACAAATTGAAAGTTTGCATAATTATTCGAAGAAACAACTTGAAATTTCTCTCAAATACTAAAAATTACTGTATCTTATTTGGTATTTATTGAGCAAATATTTTCTCCCCAGCAAGATGCATAGAAATTCTCGGCACATAAATTTGAGATATAGGAGAATATTACAATGTTTAAGCTTTTAGAAGGAAGATTTGCGAGGGATATGTATAAAATTCAAGAGCCCTCAAAACATGAATCGAGATATAAGGGGAGACTTTCAAAGTTCAACTTCAAAGAAGGCAGATTTTGAGGAATATAGATAAAATTTAAGAGAAAGACACCCTGAAAAGATACAGATGCTCCATTATACCCATACTGACTAAATAATAGAACATATTGCTCATTGCCCCAGAAATTTGAAATCATTGTTAATACCAAAATCCTTCATACATCATAATAAATTAACAAAAACCACTGTTCGATAGAAGGAATACCCAAGAAGTTATTCCAAAACAAGGTGACTGCTTTAAAGAGCAGAAATAGATTTCATCCTTTTCTAGAACTATAAACTTACACTTGCCCAAAAATGAATCAAACCAACCCCATATATATATATATATATATATATATATATATATATATATATATATATATATATATATATATATATATATATATATATATATATCAAGAGGTCAAGACATCCTATGTTCATAACCATTCATATGAAAAAGAAAGTTGTATTGATTCAGAAGATGGTTTTAAAAGGAAGCTATGGAACATCAGGTAAAATTATAAATAACAATAATGAACACAATACTAAGCAGCAAGCAGAGATTTTAATGTTAAAACAGGAACCAAACCTTGTGGGCAGATTCCATAAACTGCCCATTTTAATGCAGTATAGAGACAACAATTACAGTCAAAATAATAGTAGCATTAAGTAGGATTAGACATCTAGAGTATTTGAACCTACCATTGAACAACCATTCAGACTTGTTATTAGTATTAATTTTCCGCATGATGATAATGTGTTCCTCTTTATGGACCCCCCTCAAGGTGATCTTAATGTAGCCAGATTCTTCTCCACGCTTCACATATGCCCCAATACTTGTAGCACGCCCAAGCAACTGCAATAAACAAAATCATCATATATTGCAATTTGAAAAATCATAATCTCAGGAAGCCTGTCCAAGAGCATAAAAACTTAAACCAACCTGGGGCTCTCCGCAGAGGCCAAGAGCAATAGCACATACAAGCGAACTCTTACCAGAACCATTGGGCCCAATTACAAGATTCAATCGAGGCCCAGGTTTGCATTTTAAGTAATCAAACGTCATGAAATTACAAAGCTCGATCTCAAGAATATTTCCTGGCATATAATCATCGTCCCCCCTGAAACAAAGTATGAATCATCAGCTCCCTAATCACACCTTCCAACTATCTTAAAAGTTGAGGGTGAAAATTTGATTTTAATATCCTCAATGCCATAGAGTAGTGGCGATTCAGTTCCAGCTATATATCTTTAGAATTCCAACAACAACGAAGAACACACTAGGAGCGAATAACAAGGCCTACAACAACTTAAATTGCGAGGAGGCAAATCAATAACAAAAAGATGATCAACAGCGTTCACGAACCTGGTGGTTTTGGGGCGTTTAGAGGGGCGAGATTCCGACATCCGTTGTCCTAAATGAAAGCCTCCGAAATGAAATCCCTAAGATTACGAAAGCGATACTGATTAGGGCTAGAAGTTCAAAAATAACATCGGCGAGAGGGAAAGAACATTTGGCGCCAATTAATGCCTACATTTTTTGCTTTTGACAAATATATACTCATAACTAAACAAAAGTTATAATAATGAATATAAAAACCAAATATATACCGCGCAAGGGTAGAAAGGGGAAATTACCATAGAACCAACTATCAACAAGAAGTTAGGAAAATATAGAAAAGGAAAAAGAAAAGAAAAGAAAAAAAACAACAACGCTGTAAATGTTCTCAAATATTCAATATTACTTTTATGAAAGCAATGCTAAACAATAATTATTTTTATATCTTTATAAACTGACTATATTTAGTGGTCCTCTGATTTGAAAGTTTAGAAAAAATTGACAAAAGAAGTAAATTAATTGTGATGTAGCTTATTTAAAACACTCATGATAATATATATGTACTTTTTTTTCATTACTTGTCATTTTAAAATAAATATTTTGAAAAGAGTTGTTTACTTACGAATCATTTAACCTATAAGATTTTTACCAAAAAAGTATGTTACAGGTTGCGTCATTTATGAAAATACAAATTTGGTAAAATTACTTATCACATTACAATCAAGTGTTCCACAAAGATTTGGTGTGTCGAATTAAAAATGCATTAATGAAAATTAGCATGGCGTGTTGAATGTATTTTTTGAAATATATTACACCCAAATTCAAAATGTACAAATAAAATTATTGAATTGTTATTTATAAATATTCTAAACAGAAACTACAACAAATACTTTACGGGTTTAAAAAATCTATCTACATTAAATTTTAATTACTTTTGTTTTAAATTATATAATTTTAAAAATAATTTATTTAAATAAGATATTTCAAATTTAGTGAATTTTATTTTTTATTTAGATAAAATATTTTAATTATTATAAAACACACAAAAAATTATATTTAATAATTCAAAAATATTAGTCAATTATGTTTTTCAATTTATATTATTTTCGACGAGAGTTCATTGAAATTTTAGTGATTATCAACCTGAGCAAGTCTAATTTACATTGTTAAAAAAATAATATTATTCATGTGAGAAAAAAATTTTGATTAACATAGATAATAAATAATATTATCAATATCAATAAAAATACTTAACCATTATTGATTAAGAAATAATTTTTCCATATATTTTCAATGAAAAAAATCATCAATCATGATTAATATCAACCGAATATAATATAAATCTTAAAAAATAAATCTAACATCATTGAAAAACATGTTGAAAAATTTAATTTAATTAATACTGATTAAATAATTATTATGACTTATACGGATTAAAAAAATCACTTTTATACTATTAATTAAAAAATAACTACAATTAACTTACTTAAATGAAACTATATGTAACTTAATTCTAGTTAATAATATTACAAAGACTTAACTAAGAAAAGAATATGAAGAAAAAAAGAAGAAAAATTTAAAAGTGGAGAGAATATAATATTTTTAAAATCCTCTCAGGTTATTTATTATTTTAAAAATTAATTTTTAAAAAATTTAAAAATTGTTTGATAATTATTTTATTAAAATAAGTTTTAAAATCTAATTTTAATAAAATAATAAAACATTAGTGACGGTAATGATTTTGTTTTATGTACTTTTTTTCCCCTTATTTTCAAGGAATTACACCCTCTCTACATACAAAATTTTTTCTCTTGCCTCTCAATTTGTACCGTTTTGTGAAGTTCCTCACCCCTCCCTGGAGTTGTTTTGTTTTAATTTTGCAAGTAATGCGCATGAGACACAGCAACATTACATTTCAAGATGCTTGAGATTAACTAGATTAAAAAACAAATTGACTCTAAAATTACCACAATTAGTATTTAAAAATCCTTTTTTATTTCAAAATCAATTCTTCAACCCACACTTTTGAAACATCATTTCCTACATCCACTTTCCTAATATCGATATTTCAAAAAGACTTCTATTAAATCAAATTTTCTATCAAAACTAAGCATACCCTATATGTGCTATTAACTGAAACTATAAACAATATGATTATACAAGCATTTTACATCAATTATAGAAAATCCACTGGATCATATCCCATCCAAAATGCTGTCCATAATTTTATAAATGGAGCAAGCCACGTTCTCATCAGCAGTAGTAATAATAGTACTAGTGGTTCGAATCTCTATCGAGGCTTTGTAAGGGTCCTGTATGTGAATTATACATGCAGTTTGTGAATTAACATCACTCGTACCATGTTGGATATTTCCACTGATGCCCATCTTTGATAATGCAGCCATAAGTTTTTCTGAATCAGGTAAACCCCAATGTTCCAAAGACCTATTACTCAAGGAGTTTTTGTTATAATTTTCCAATAGCAAGTGATGTCTGGCGTTTTCCATTAATAGCTCTCCCTTCAATTTTGTTATATTGATTTCTTCATTTTTGAATGTTTTCCAATAAAACTGGGAAGCCAAATCAGTTGCAATCTTTATCTCTGAGCTGTGCTTTCGGTATGGTACTTTCAAAGCTTCAGCTTCAGTATAATACAAAACGGAGACAGACTTTTCACTGGAAAGGTTGATGTGCAGTCTAAACTCCTCAGGGCACTAGAGATTAAGAAATAAATAAATAATAATAATAATAATAATAATAATCATTTTATCACACATGTATATGTATAATCTTATAATATAGTGTATAATATATCTTAGTATAATTACCAGGACAGTCTTCGGCTGCAATGTCTTTAGTAAAGGTTGAACTGTCCGCAACCTACAATGCGGAAATCAAAGAGAATAATAAATGCATATATCAAATGTAGTCGGGGCATAGATTACACATTTTTTATAAACAGAATTAATATAAAACAATTCATGTTTCTTCACCTAAAATATAAGTTGTTAGACGAAGATACATGAATAATTTTATATTAAATCATCAATAATCCTCCAATCCTGGAACTCCTTTTAGAGGTTAATTAATCCAAACTCATTTCTAACGTGGTTGCAGTTTATAAAAACTTATCCACTCTCAATGAGATGCCAAATTAGATTAACACATGAGGATAGTTTATATTATAGTTATGTTGCATTTTTAATGACAAAGTTATAAAGAAATTAATGTTTTCAAAAATACACTATAAGTTTCGGGTACGGGTACTTTGAAATGGGGAGGGAAGAAAAAATACGGCATACGCAATGTAATCCTATTCCGTAACCAAAAAACGTTATTATGTGGTATTATGGAACTCATCCATAAGCAGATAATTCTACAAAGAGTATTGATATGTAGGCAACTAAAAATAACAAGACAATCATTTGACATCATCTATCAATGTAATAATAATAAAAGTATTTACATCCATACTCTTTTCTCTCTTTCTCTCTCATTCAAGAGTTATCTATCTAAACTGGGTTGTCAAAGTATCACTTTCCTTTTACAAGCATCAGTAATCAAACAATTTATCAAGGTTGTATTTTGCATTTTTTTTCATATGTTCTTCCCCCTATGTTTTTTCGGGTGGCATATTTCAAGAGTAAGCTGTTACTGGCTCAATGTTTATAGAGATTGGGTGAATTATCAGTAAGAATAGTTACACATAAACATGAATGATATATTGGAAGACGTGACCAAGGGAAAGGTGAACCTACCCTATTCCAAAGGGAAACACACATTGAAGAACCTTCATTGCAACTGGCTGGAAAGGTAGAAGTGCTAGTTCAAGATTCAAAACATCCTGCCGATAGGAAATTCAATGCAGCATTAGCAAAAGACGTTCAAACTACATTAAAAAGAATAATACATAAAATACTGCACATATGAAGATACATTTCCACCTCAAAAATAAAGGAATAAAAAAGACTGCAAGAAAGCATCGTAATAACTATTAACATTATATAAGGATATGAATGAAATTTGGATTAAGGGAGAGTATTTCGAGAACACAAGTAACCAAGAGTAGGGAAATCAATAACTGAATAATTTCTTATGCTATTGGGAGAGAGTGACGAAAGAGATATTTTTTATAAAGCAAGTAGATTGTTTGAGAATGAAAGTGTAGTCCATTGAAGCACCAAGCCATGCTAACAGAATCAGTTGCAGGTGCTACGTCAGCAGAGTCTAATAACCAACAAAAATGGAAAACATGATATGAAAAAACTAATATATGGTAAAAGAAATACAGCATATAATAACAATAAAGCATAGTATAAAAGGTGATGCTAACACAGCATACTAATGCTGTAATAGCAATACCCTCCCCCCAGTTCAAGATCAGCCTTGATCTCAAGGATGAAAGTTTGGGAACTGCTGTAGGAGGTCATAATGGAATTCCCAAGTTGCCTTCTCAATGGGAAAATCCTTTCACTTAACTAAAACTTTCGTAGCAGCAATACAACCCACTTTTACCATTTTCTATCACGAACTTCCTCGGGCTCATAGGGAAGAGTAGAATTCTGATGTGCAGGATTCAATTGTGATACAAGAAACACATTATGTATCTTTGCACTAGGTGGAAGCTCTAATTGGTATGCTGCTGCACCAATACTATCAATCACTTTAAAAGGACCAAAAAATTTCTTGGTAAGGTTGCAGCTTGAGATATACAAAATCTCCAATGTGAATAACTCAATCGTGCATATCTGCTTGCTGAGACATTCGATTCTGAGATCTAAGGAGATGGAATTTGAGTAATTGTATCACAGCATCTCTAGCACTAAGCGTATGTTATGACTAAAAAATAAAGTACTGCGTATATCAACAAAAGACAGAATGGACATGGAACGTCAGTCAAAGGATTGGTATTATTAGAGTCAAATCATACTATTCCTTCATGGCTACAGAATAGCAGAGACTGCATAGTAAAAGAAATTAAATGCAGAGAATGTTTCTTTCAGCCAAAAAAAAAAACAGATTTCCCGAGAGAGAAAAGAGACTGTTCAACTTTTCTTTCTTTTTTTCT